CATCGTCTCCGGGGAGCTTCGGCCGCCCTAGAGGCGGAGGAACCGCCCCCCCTCCGGGGTCTAGTCAAATCTCCCGGCCAGCACTCTCAGGAAGAGAAGTGGGGCCAGAGTTCGCGGCTCACCTTGCTGCTCCCTCACGGCTACGTGGCTCGGCCAGAAGGTCCCATGCCGCACGCCAAAACATTCGAACAGGCCGCGGAGGGTCACAGGCTGAGGGATGAAGGGCGCTGGCATCCCGAGGCTTCTTGAGAGTTAGAGGGCGCACCCCCCGACTGTCGTCGTAACCGAAGACCGTTTTAAAGACACCGGCATCACCTGTGAGATCTCTCGTATACTGCAGAATGTGCACGCAGCCCCGAGCTGAAGATGACGGAGCTGGCACAGCTGAGGATGGCCAGGGTCCAAACCACAGCAGCGCACGGTTGGAGCGCTTCCTGCACCGCGTCACCGCCTTTGGTTTCACAGGTTGCGAGGGCGGCTTCAGAGCCCGAGGGGTTTCGTCGGGTTCTCGTCGCACGTGGCCCTGTGTCCTCGCCAGCAAGGCAACTCACCAACGATGATCCTAACCATCTCCCTGGAAACTCGCCCGAGGACCGGCGGGAAAAAGGGCTTGGGTTTCGGCCCTCGTTCGCACTGCTGCCAGGAGCTGCGGGACATCGAGCGTGCCTTTGAGATCCTTGATGCAGATGGCGCAGGCATCCTGGAGGACTGTCTGGTCGGACAGTCCTTCATCCGCGGCAGCTTGGCTGCCTCGCCTCCTGTTATCGGCCACAGTTCCTCCCCCCTTGAGAAGCCAATTCACGCTATTCCGCAGAAGCACCAATAGCCCGAAATTCTCCTCGCGTCCTGTGTTGTGGCATGGTTCGTCTTGTATGTCTCAAGATCTTCGATGACAGTTACCGTGATTCATGGTGTCTTGGTTAATCATTCGCACGCAACCTTCAGAAGTTGTGCAATCTGGTGGAACCATGGACAAGTCAAGCACAAGTCTATTGAGTGAGAGAGCATTCTTTTTTCAACGTCCGCTGGGTTTTTGCTTTCGCCGACTCTTTGCTTGGCCCCTGCGGCAGGAGGGCGCCGTGAAAAGCTACATGGAGAGACTGCCGGCGTTTCAGTCGCGCGAGTTCGAAGATGAAGCTTGTTCTGTGCTAGAAAAAGGCCAAAAGACAGAGCGAGATGATTTCGACCAGCTTTCAACCATCACCCCTAGATCCTGATATACGATGTTGAGCTCTTTGAGTCCGAAGCTGCAAGCCCGACTTGCTGAGGAGTGGGAGCTCTGGTTAAGAGTGGCCCGGAACATGAATCCAGAAGCCGGGGAGGGCCCAAGCACCCAAGCATCGCCACCATCTGACGCATCTGCGAAGGCAACGGGGATCACTCGCAGAGACTGGCGGATGATTATGCAACTCGGTCACCGATGCCCCAAAGATGCCACTGGGTGACTTTGGCTTCGGCCCATTCTGACAGAATCTCACTTGGATGTGTTGCATGCAACAGACTCCGAGGGATAGCGGGCTAGTAGTCCAGAAAGTCGCACCACTTGGTGTTTGGAAGGCTAGTGCTGCTGGAACTCGTGCTTTAACTGCTGCACCTGTGTTGGAGCAGTTGGCCCACTCCAAGCCCCTTCCCTCGGACGACATTTCCAGGCTCTGCCACCAGTTTGGACCACAGCACCTCAATAGTCTACAGCCTAGTCATCTTGCCAGGCAGCAGCTCTACCGTCGCAATGCTGAGAAGGAGCGTCGAGGGCCCATTTGCATGCCCATGTGCATTTTGCCACCGGAAGGATGCTAACATTTTCGTGCTGAACGTGACTACTCCTGCGCAGTATTTCCATGTGGCTCGGCCAGAGCAGCCACAGGGGGTTCGGCTGGAAGACACGCAACCAAAGCAATGTGCGAAGATGCTCGCTGCTTGCGTCACAGGTGCTGCGGCGCCAAGCCCATCGGCCCTTCATGAAGCCACTGGTGTCTGGGCTGAGAGCAGGCTCACATCACCCAAGGGCGCGGCCGAAGTCTCACGGTTGTCGATGTGTCGTAGCAGTCGCCGCAACAGAGCGTGTTTTCCCGCAGATTGTATCCAGCCCACTCCAAGTGGCGATGAGGTACTAATGTCGCCCAAGTACTTGCTGCATCATGCGAAGGCCCATCTGCTTCCGCCAGCGAGTGGCTAGCTGTAAAATCTCCTAAAAGCTGATTCAACAATTGTTGTACTGCGTGACGACGTAATGGATTGTTTAGTTTAGTTACAGTTACAACGCGAGACAAGCTGGAGAGCCTTTGGAAGGCCACCTCACCGCTGGAGGACTTTGGTGAGCAGAGCCACTTTATGCGGGCATCGCGGACTGCACTAAGCTGCTTGCAGTACCGTGGTGTGTTTACAATGGTTTGCCTTGAAGCTGTGTTAATCCGTTTCTGCAACAGTTCATCTCGCCCGCCGAAACTTAGACGCCACTGACGTAACTTAAGGATCGTCCCAAAGCATAAAGATTGTCTCAGTCTGAATACGAGTGGCTCATCTGGATTGTGCTCACTGCCCAATGGAATATGGAGGTCACCAGCTGCCTCCGTTGGTTTGACGAGTAGAACTTCACAGAAAAGTTTCTCTTCACTGGTTCAATGCTGTCAAATGCCTGTCCAGGGATGAGACTTTCAGAATTCTCAAGGGAAAAATAGCAACCCGAAATTCCGCCGCTCTCATTTTTGGGGGGAGTGCCTCACAGAGGGTGCCAGGGTCAGGGCCATGGGGCCTGGGGCTCTCGCGGGTCGACCTCCTGCCTCAGCTTCTCTTCTGGGCTCACGGCCCCATGAGACCTCTGCTTGAAAGCCCCCCCAGTACGGCTCCCAAATCACAGCGGTTCCCGAGGTGATTGTGGACTACAGCCCTTTCGGAAAGGAGCCTCTGTTCTTTTGAGCATTTCTTGAGGAGTGGGCCTGGCTTGAGCTTTAGTCTTCTGCGTTATTTTGCCTGAGGCTTTGTAAGGCAGAGTAGTAGTTCTGGCAACGTCGGCGTAGACGGGGCTCAACAGTAGCATGCGCGAGCTCGAAGTCGCGGAACCCGCATCTCCAACCAGCCAACCCTTCGTAAAATCCTGCGAGGAGTTCGCCAGCCGCTCAGACAACACCCGGCATCTCAGTACCAGCAGGCCTCCGACTGGAGTGTTCTGACAGGTACATACATACTTACTGCGACTTTTGCGATGCTTCACTCGCATGCTCAATGTGCAGAGTTACGTGTTCAGGTCAGGAACCGACAGCTAGTCTCAGGGTTCCCTTTGAGTGGAAACCTTCCAAGGGGGGCATAGTCGGAGCGGAAGCTGCCAGGAGTGAGCTACCCGCTTCCCCAGCCCCCCAAGGCTTTGAAAGCGCTTTCCTCTTTATTGCAGGAGCGGGCGCCCGCTCACCGAGCCGCCGGAGGCCGCGAAGCGAAGCGAGCGAAGGAGAGAGACCCTGGCCTGCGCCATAACCCGGAAAGCGGAGAGAGCTGGCCTGGGAAAGCGGAGAGCCGACCAAAATGCGCTCAAGGCTTCGGAGTGAAGGGCCCCAGCTCAGAGCTCGAGTCGAGGCCATTCGACGCGTCATCCTCTGCAGCGGCCAAGTCTACTACATGCTTTCGCCGCACGGTTCTGCAAGAGCTCGTGGGAAGCTTGCCAACCCCTTGCACTCACGTATAGCCACGTGTGCATTGTTGTGCTAGCGGATGGTTCTCTGTCCAGTGTTCCCGCGACATGAGTCTTGGCAAGGGGCTAGAGCGGCTAGTAACATCCATCTAGACAACGACGATGCGGTGGAGGCCCTCTAAAAAAGGCCGGAAACACGGGCCCGGAGCTTCAGAGCCGTCCTTTGCATTCAGGAATGCTCGGCGGGCCAAGAAGATCAAAGATATCGTCCTCGTCCGCCTGGTGCCTTGGGCCACGTTCCACAACGTTGAAAGAGGCATCTTCGGGGCGACTCCAGGGCCCTACTGGTGTACCCCACAATCTCCGATCTCCTGCATTCGCAAAGACTTTTTCTCGAAGTCACTGCAGTCCCTGCGGCAGCTTTAAGGAGCAGATTGCGCCGTTTCCCTACGACCGGATCATCAAAGCTCTTTCCTACTATCCGAACGCCAGTTGGCACAAGCATTTGTCCATGCAGGATTTGCGGTTGGTTCAGATGCTGGATCTGGTGCCTAGGTCGTTTTGCCACTGGTAGCCTGCTCGTGGCATGATCTCCAAATGATGCCTCGATGCATTTCCTGCAGTTCCCGGCTTCGCAAACCCGAGGCCGACGTCGTGTGGTGCCAGGCGACAGATTGTGCAGCTTCTTGCTCACTCATTTCATGCGTGAGCACACGAGCCGGTTCCAGCTTTGGCATAGCGGTTCCGAGGCGGCGACATAGGACCCATAAAATCCCAGTATTGGACAGGTGCACATTTAGAAATCTGCCCATCGTGGACTCGTACAGTGTCGTTACAGATCCTCAATAAACTTGACATTGATTTGCAGGAGGAGCCGAAGAACATGGGAGCATGGTCCTATGTCTCGCCGAGGTGACGACATCCCGGGATCAGAAAGTCACGATCAAGCAGAATGTCCGGCACAGTATCCACGAAACTGAAGCTAACCAGCAAGCAGCCCCAAAGACTTCTAGAAAGTCACAAATTCCTAACCCGAGTTCTCCAAGCAGGGGAGCCTTCCATCCAAAGCCAGACCGGTTGCTCCGTTCCAAACGGCTTCGAGCTGTTGCAGCGCAAATTCCTATCAGGGTCACGGGGTAGCCCCGGGCTAGTACGGGACTAATTCATAGGTTCACCGGATTCGAGCGGTGTGGCTTGGCCCGACTTTTGCCAGGCTGTCGACCTGTGTGGAGAGCGACGTGGCCTTCGCCGCTTGGACTTCGCATTTCCCCCGGCCAAGCCGCTAAGCATTTGCACCGGAAACAAATGCTCGGCAAGAGCTCGTCGGCTGCTTTGGAAAGAGGAGGTCAAAGGCGAGCAGGTGTTCAGCTACGACTGACCGAGGGTGCGTGGTCGAACATGCAGAGCTCCGAAGCGAAAGCCACTCGCCAGGTCGGGCGGCCGGTCAGTGCCGCCCCTGCGACGGGGTCCGCGCAGATCCACCGCGAGGACGTGCGAGGGGCTGGAGACGTGGCCAGTTTGACGCGAGGTTGAGCCCGGTAGGCGCCGAGCGCGCCAAAATGCGCGATTCCAATTGGCTTTCACATCTGGACTTTGTGCAGCTAGTCGAGATTCAAGCTTTCGCTTGTAACACCACAGATGTCGAAGCTCGGCGCCCTAGCTCCGATGCAAGGCCCCAAGCAAGTCCCTGCTTTTGGAATCTCTGAAGCACCGTGACTTGCCCTCTGCCGGAGGAAACACGGCTCATCCTCGACGCTGCCTTTGCCAATTGAGCCTGCGAGGAAAAGAGCCTTCATTTTCCTCTGTGCAGGATCAGAACTAGACGGCCAGACATCACTCTCGTACTGTTGCCTGCTGGAAGTTGCACTTCACAAGTTCCCACCTTCCTGTCCACAGATTCAAGCCAGTGCAGCAAGAGGTACTGCGCAGAGCACCAAGAAGTCCGAGGAACAATCAAGGACAGTCTCGGAACTTGTCCGTTTCTTTGAGGCCAGTGGGCTGCACCTAGATCCGAGGTGGTCAGGAGACCTGTCACAGAATGCATGGGGGCCTTCTATGAGAGCTACAACCATTCCTACCTCCCGCTTGAACTGAATCTCTGTGATTGGGACCACAAGCCAGAAGCAGTTTCACCTCCGTTTCCACCTCTGGAGCCAGGACCCCCAAGTCGCGACCGACCACGCCGCAGGCGAGGTTTCGTAGGGCCGCCTGTACTCCTGTGGAATCAGAAGGGTCTGCAGGGTTTGCCGGTGTCATGTAGGAGTGGTGTTCAGAGCCTGCGATCGCAAGCCAGAGGTCGCCCGGTTCCTAAGTGCTAACGGTTGCTAACGCAAAAAAAGGCTTCTGGATGGGAGCAAACGTTCCACCCGTGGTGGCATGGAGTCTAGTTCTTTCACGAAAACCCTGGCCCTTCCACAAACCCTCCCCGACGAGCGCCAGGTGAGCCAAACGCCTCGAGACCAGCTCAAGTCCGCAGCGAAGCGCGTGAAGGCATCGGGGTCTGGGGTTCGTAGTCAGCTCCTTCGGCACGTGCACGCTCCGAGCAGGATCGCCACGTCACGCTCCGGGTGAAGAACTTGCGCTCCACGGCCAGATCAGACAGACGGGGCTGGAACACGTAGACGACCTGTCTTTCAGTTATGATTCACAGAACTGGTTCCAGGACAGCAAGCACGAGTAACATGAGGCTCTGAAGATTGGAGCCACTTCACCGTTTTATCTGCTCGTAATCCTGAAGCTGCAAACGAAACGCCGTGAAACCAAGGTTTCATGGCCAGCCTCAACGAAGAGGCGCTGAGGACGCAGGCGCCAAGTGAAGAGTTGAAAGGCTCGATCCGGTGTTTGCTCCTGCAGCTCAGGTGCAAACCCCCCCCCCCTCTGACGACCTGGTCTCGGATTCGCCCTCCCTGAAAGCCTGAAACTGCCCAAGGGTCGGCTTTGGGCGCTGCTCCAGCGCAGCGAAGGTGCCCTACTGCCGGAGGCGGGAGGGGGGAAGGGCCGGGAAGGGGAGATCCTCGTGTTCAAGCACGGCACAGGGAGTTTCGAAGCATCGCTTCCTTTTTGGCAGATCTCGGTGATGCAGAAAAACGTGCTCTTCGACCTGGTGGCCCAGCTCCTGGACTTCGCCCTCAGCGAGCCGCTGGGCCAAGAAGAGTGCATCGGCGGCCCGGCCACATTTGTCCCTTCTCTCGGAGCCGAGGGCCGGGCGCCTGTCGACTGCATCCACCCCTCCCGCGCGGGACCTCGGACAAAGACGACTTTGCTGGCTCACGCACAGCGAGAACCCCCCCGCGCCCGCACCGCAGATCCGGCGCCCAGGCCCGGGTCTTGGAGCGGGCCTTGTCCTTCGCCCTGGCCTTGGAGCACGGCAAGGACCGAGCTCTGACTCGATGGTGTGTGCTCGCAGCGACAGCACTTCCGGAAATCCACAAGCCTCAGTCGCTCAATAGGTTTCCAGGGTGAAGGCGAGCTCAGTAGCAGCAGGTGTAGTGGCCTAGTGCTGCGAGTCTGCGAGGAGATTGCTGTGCCGGTGGACTCCCGCACACAGGCGGCATGGAGAGAGCGTTGCCGAAAGGGGCGACCGGTGCCCCAATGAGCTCCTAAAGGGGCCCCCAAAGTGCAGCGCAAAGCGGCCGTGCGCAGCTTTCGGTCGCAGGCGCTGAAACTCGCCTCGTTGATTGACACGCAGCTCCTCTGCCAGGCCCCCTCCAAGAGCTCTGCAGTCGTCAAACCTCCAAGTGCTCTCAGTCCAAAAGCAGGTGGTGACGGGACCCTTCCGCCGTCGACTTCTCGCCTTGGCACGGCGTCGGGCAGAAGGCACCCTGTGCTGCAAAGAGCGCTTTCGGGGCAAATGCTCGTGGCTTGTCAGAAGAATCCTCCCCCAAAGGTCTATGGGGGGTTCTATATGGGGCATAAAAAGGCCGTGGACGGTTGCAAGTATCGGCAAATCCCCGGAAGCCCTTGAGCGCAGCTCCAAACAAGCCTAAGCCCCCGATTCCCGGAGTGTTGTGTTATGAAAGTGCCACGGCACCCTGGCAGCAGATCAGCCCAGTTGAAGAGCTTCGGAGCAAGGACCCCCCAAATCGGAAGCGAGCTGCCTTTCAGGTTATTCGGGCGGCAGGAACACCTCTCTCAAAGCTCGGCCCCTGGCTTCTCAAGGCAGTGCCAGGTGTTTGGGTTTGAGCCGATCCGGCCATAAGAGCTCAGCAAAAGGTTCGTCGGTGCGTGGGCTACCTACTCACCTTTCTAGTGCTACTTTATCAGTTGACTGCGGCGAGGCCTTTAGCAGAAAATTACAGCCTGCCTGACCCAGACGGTTGACCTTTCGCAGCCTTTGTTGCTCCAGCTTTAGTCGTGAAGTTACTGTGAAAGTCGCTCTGCGAAGTACATTGCCGCCATGATGCCCCTTGGAAGCCTCAGAGGGCTCTAAGATGAATGTTCGCAGGGTCTTAGGATCTCTTAGGATCACTTGCCGAAGAGCCGAGGTCCTGCGGACGCCACTCGGCCTTTCTCTTTCTCGCCGCCTCGGCGCTGCCCACAGCCATTTTGGGCGCTCGTGCAGCAGGCGGAGGCCAGGAGCCCAGAGGAGCCCAGAAGCTCCGGAGCTACGGACCCTGCTACGGAAAAACGCTCTTCCCCAATCCGAGATGGGACCGGCAACAAGCAGCCTGGCGATGCTTGCGATTGCGGGCCCCTCGTCGAAGCTGCGGCATTGGAGGTCACAGGGCTAGGCCATCGATTGAGTTGCCGGCATAGGTATGCGGGATCCACCGCGCTCCAACGGTCAAAGAACACCTGCTGCGGCAGCCTGGCAGCAACATGGGGTCAGCCCGCACCATGCTTCCATTCCACGGTTTGCTTCGGCGACATGTGCTCAGACTGCAGAGATGCGGTTCGTTGTATTGACGGGAGAGGAAGTAAACTGGGGGTAAACTGGCACGTACAAGCTAGGCAGAGAGCACTCGGTATCTGCACCGCTTGGGTTTTGGGCCTGCATAATGTCTGGAGTCCTGAAATATTGGGAGGCGACGGCCTCATTTGCAGCGCGACTGAGAAGACGTGCAAGCCCGCGGTGGGGGCTGAATGCAAAAGGCCAATCCGGATCGCGGGGCTGAACAAAGAGGGGACAACAACTCCCGCTGCCGAACCGAAACCATGTTTGACTCCGAAGTGACAGCAGCCTGTTTCTTCCTTTCTGCAGCCCTCGAAGCGGCATCGCCGGTACATTCACACAGGGTCAGATCTTGCATGGGACATTCTGAAAGACACGATGTGTTGCAAACAGGTCGAGAGCAGATAGCGTGCCACTGCTTAACCAAGAATAGCACGGTCGGCTCCGGGCAGTCCACCCATCAGATATTTTGTTCTGAAGGAAAGAATGGTCATTTGGGACAAACTGTGCCGTGAGCACATATGGACGATTGGGTGGTATCAGCTGCCAAAAAGCAACTTGTCTGCTTTAGCAAATCCGTCCGTCATCGTTGTGCCTTATCCATACTGCCGCAAGGGTCGGAAACGCAGTTTTGGTACAAGCTTCCTGCCCAAGCTCCAAGCGATGCTATCCCTGGGCCCGTCAAGCAGCCCAGGTCCGAGAGGCGGAGTCCGCTTGCAGTTTTGGAAGTGATTCCACGCCCAGAAGCTTGTCGATCTGGGAATCAGTTCCCCGAATCGTTTCCGAATCAAAGACCAAAGACAAACGCTTTGCAGCCTGATGCAACATAAAAAGCCGAAGCCTGCTCAGTTCCATAAGAAGGGTCCAAGCACTTCTAACTCAAGCTCCTGGATCAAACATGTGAGCACGACATCCTGACGCTGTGGCGATTCCCAGAGGGAGCTCGGCTTGCGGTCTCCTCCAACCCTGTGGCAGGATGACAACGGAGAGCAGAAGCACAGGTGCTGCGTTTCCAACTACGGAGGAGAACCCGAGCCTTGGCTCAGAGAGAAGGGAGGGCCCGGCTTTGCGCTTTGGACGGAGTCGCCCCCAACTGCTGGGGCAGCTCTCGGAAAGCGTTCTTCACTCAGTTGTAGAGAGAGCAAGCCGAATGGCAACGCAGCGAAATTTCTTTTGGTCTTGTGCACTTTCGAAAAACCCTTTAACGCCATTCGCGTACCTGAGCCAAGGAGCTAGGAGACCTTACTCGGTTCTTGACGTGCTCAGTGTCCAACTCTCGACCTGCTCAGCCGTCCACCTACCAGTACGCGCCCATCGACGGCGATGACAGCACTTGCTGTTCGGGATACGCCGAGGACGTCAAGCCCGGCACTTGGGTGTCGAGACACGACAATCATTGTGGAATATTACTGCCATATTTAAATTTGTACACTACCCGCCTCAAGACCCACATCAAAGCTTGGCTTACCAACGACATCCCATGTTTTGCCCATCACGACTTTAACGATAATCTGCATTAGCATGGTTGGGTTCCGTATCACGACCGTCATCACTATCTGTTACATCGCCTGTGTTCCCCGACTACATGAAAGCTATTCTTGCTACTGCAGGAGATGTGACATCATGTATGTTAAATAACATACAGTTCTCTAGACCACTCCGTATTTAACCCCTGTTTGTACCGCGTCTTCTTCTCGTGTAAACAAGCGGTAGTCAACGTCGACAAAAATAATGGTTAGTATTATTGAGCTGATCAGATACCAATGTTCACCAGTATTGAATCACGGCTAGTTTTGAATACCTTTATCCAGTCTGTAGTTTCTACGCGATCCAGTATGTTGTGATGCCGCTTGTGTCTCGAGTTGGTGCTTGTATTCTTGCACTACTGAGGCTTCTCAACCCACCGTGCACAGCGCACGCGGCATTTTAAGTGCAAGCCGCGAACACTCCAAAAATGCGTGTGCCCTTGCGGAATGGCTAAAGTTTAGTTGTTGTTGGGCTGACATCACCCCACCTGGTGTGACTTCACTCCCATGCCGTGTGCCGCAGGGCTTGGGGTGACGTAAAAGGTGTTGAATAAACAACTATGCAAGACCGCTTGAAATCCAGCTAGCTGCCACGTGAACAATAGCCGGGAGGCAAGTACACGCTCAATTAGCTTGTAAGTTACAGCAGCTGAATAGACGCGGAATCGTTAAGAGGCTGTTTTTTCATACTATCCACATTCTTACACAAATCCAGCGTGTAGGCATTGGTTGGGTGCTGTCTATACGCCAGCCCAATATGAAGAAACAAGTATGACATAATGATAACGTGACTGGATGCTTGATGCCTGAAGATTGAATGTGAGTGAATATTGTCTGGATGCTGGATACTGTAGGGATTGTTACCTGGGCAGTGTTCAGCCTTCATCGTAAGCCTTATGACGTACTCAGCAAGCAAAAAATGAAAAATTGAGAGACACATATTTACAAACGTTTGTGTGGATGTTTGGTAGTAGCTTATGAATTGTCACTGGGTGAGACATGAGGGAAAACTTGCACAGAATGCTCGTCGTAGCCATACCTCTCACCACAACTGAAGATCTCGTCCCCAGGTTTCTACTTTCCACGAATGCAGCACCTAGACCACAAGGTACACTAAAACAGTATGGCCCACTGTTTTGGAGATTGTGGTGCTGCTTGAACTTTTTGGCAAGTTTTCAATTTGAAAGCTTAATACAATAGATTTGTCAAGATGCACTAAGCCGATCCCATTCCACTCCCTTTCCGTCAGTCAGTCAGTCAGTCAGTTATTCAGTCATTCGTTCACTCACTCATCGAATTCCGCATAATTCAATACATAAATTCATTCATTTATGCATTCATTCATCAGTTAATTCATTCATTATTCATTCAATCATTGTTTCATCCATCTATCCATCCATCCATCCATCCATGCATGCAACTATCGTATTCATATATCTTCTCATTCAATCACTTATTCATTCATTATCTCATTCACCCACTTATTCAGTCACTCACTCATTCTTTCATTCGCTCATTCACTCATTCATTCAATAGTTCATTCATTCATTCATGGATTCACGCGCTCATTCATTCAATTATGCATTCGTGTTTCTACGTATCTGTGCATCGGTTTGTTCATGTCAAGTTTTAGTTGTGTCACCTGTGTGTTGGCCATCTAATTGTCTGTCTATGTATCTATCTATCCATCTATCTATCTATCTATCTATCTGTCGGTCATTCTAAAGATTTCTAAAGTGTCATGGCTTGGGGAATCGGCACGTTTGTGTTTTAGGGTCATGGCCTGCTTGACTCACGAAGCTGTGTCGCCCATTCTGGTCAACACAGGAAATTGGAGCAGCTTCAAGCCTCCAAGGCTGAACCCCTGTGCCAGGTGGCCGTTTCCGAGCGACCAGAAGTACAACCGGCGCTTGTGCACTTCCAAGTCGTCCTGGTTCAGGCTCGGGAGCTTCTTTCGGCTCATGGCAGACTTCCACTCAAGGCACAAGGATTCCCTGCCCGCAGGTGATCGTCGAAGGGAGATCCAGAAGCACTGAGCCAGCTCTCTTGCCATGGAAAAAGGAACGACAAGACGGTTCGTGCCCTGCCAACTCTAGCTTTGAGAGTGCTCTTGTCGCCTTCCTTTTGCCTTAAGAGGAGAGGCGAATGGAATGCATCAGGTTCCCTTTCGAAGAGCATTGAGCGAGTGTCACCTTTGCCCAAGGCTTGGGAGGATGCAGCAAACGCCTGCTGCGAGCGCATCGCTTCCTGCATCCAGCAGGCTCGTATACGACCAGTCTTAAAGTCTTTCTCTTTAAAGTCTTTGTCGTAGTATCTCTCTCTGTCTCTCTCTCTCTCGCTCTCTCTCTCGCTCTCTCGTGTATAGAGAGAGAGAGAGAGAGAGAGAGAGAGAGAGAGACAGACAGACAGAGAGAGAGAGGGGAGCGAGAGAGCACCGTCTCCTCGGCTCGGCTCTCGGCGCGAACCGCCGCCAGGCCGTCCTCGCGCCCGGGGCACCGGAGGCTCCAGCGGAGGCTCCAGAGGCTCACTGAGAGGGCCGAACCGAAGGCCAGGGGTGGTGATTTTGTTGTTTTGTCTTTCTCTTTGCCAAGGAACAAAGTCTTCCCTAACAGTCTTGTGCTGGCTTCCCTCGGCCCAGGGTAGAGCGGCGCAGCAAGGAGCACGGAATTCAGGATGCGCAGCGCGGATCCCCGCAAATGCTGACGTCCCTATACCCAAAGACCGCAGCAGTGCAAGCTCAGGGCCCTTCGATGCCGTAAACTTGTTGCAGAGAGGTTTGTTTAGTCGGCGCGTGTCAGATTACCATGCGCGAAGCTTGCAATGCTTCTCCTCTAGCCACATTCATAAGGATTCAGGCTAGACAGCCCCTTACTCTTGCGACAACTCTTTCACGCCGGGGAGCGTGGCTCCGCTGTTTCACCGCGTCTCACGAAATCGGGCTCAGCTGCGGAATACTTGCACCTAGCAGACCTAGCATCCTGATCTCCAAGGGGAAGGAGCTCGGCCGACAGCAGCCTCTCTAACCGACCAGTGACACAGCGAAAGTACTCGGCAGCCTTCGATCCCAAAAGCTGAGTTCCATGCGGATTAGGCCCTGAATTCACTTCGGGTTTCTCTCGCCTGTCCTGGACACCAAGAGGCTGAATTGCCACGAGGCTTGAGAAACCCCATCAACCTGACTGGAAAAGACGGACAGGGAGCAGTCGCGTGTTTCTACACCCGATAGAGGGACCAGCCGAGCAGGAGACCAAGAAAATCTTCACTCGTCGGTGCATCAAACGTCCTTGAAAGGACCCAAAACGGGAAAGATGCATCCTGTCGCAGTCGGCGAATCTCTGGACGCTTGTTGGATTCGCGCTGCAGTTATCTGGCGTACCTGAATCCAAGATATATCCGAAAGACTCACCCAGATCAGAAGTGCTTCCCAAGCGAGACTAGGGGCTACAGCAGGCAGAAAACAAACCTTCCAAGCTGGACATCAGACTGATGTGAAAACGACGACACCAATCGACTTTTCCCTTCTGCGCAGCACCCATGTTCTCGAGGCTCCATCGTTTTGAGGACTCACAGTCACGGAAATACAGCAGAAGGCTTTACAAGGTTTGCAAAGGTACTCCGCCGCCGCGTCACACGCGACGTAACTACCTCGTGCTAGAGGTTTAGCTCCAGGTGTCAGTCCAAGGCTGCAGAGGCCAGCCGCAGAGCCCTGCCATGATTGCGAGCCCGGGCCTGGCGTCCGAAGCGGGCTTCTCCCGCAGCGAGGCCTCGCCACCGGGCAGAACTTGGACTTGGCTCGTAGCGCAGGCCGAGGGGCGAGACAGAAATCCAAAACTGGAGATGGTAAGCAGTGGCATGGCTGATGTTTGCAGCATGCAGGAGGGGCCCCACATTTCCTGTCCTCCAAATTAAACGGAAAGCATCCACGGCCCCTGAGCGACCAAGATTCCTGCCCAGCGCCCCTCGTGCCGCTCCGAAGAAGGCGTGCTGGGAAGGCGCCAGGGCAGGGTCGCATGTGTAAGTCGGTGTGTGTTTGTGTTCTCCCTGACTGCTAGCCGGGCTCCAGTCCAGGCCTCCGCCTCCGACCCTTCGCCGCCGCGAGTGCCGCAGGCGCAAGTCTCTGGACTGGAGAGAGTCGAGAGGAGAGATTGAAGAGCTCTGCCAAAGGAAGGCGAAGGCGACTGACATGTAAGACCTTGGTTGCACCCACTTTTGGTCCTTGCCCTTGTTTCTCATGAGTATGCTCTTTTAGCCCTTTCATCCAATCGCCGAAGATCTTTCATTGTGCTCTTCCGCTCTTCGTACTACTGCTGGGTCTATATTGGCTCAGTGTGTGAAGAACTGCCGGATCCTTGGCCCCAGGCCTCGCTTGTGCCCGCGTGGCCAGGCGGGTGCGCTTGTCTGCAGCGTCGCCCACCAGGCGGAGCTGAAGGGAAGAAAGGGGCGTGCGCAGTGACGCAGTGCACACGGGTAGAAACTGAGACACGGGCTTCTCCAGGCTTCGAGAGTCAACTCGACTTCAGGGTTCACACGGGGTTCCACATGCCTCCAATCTAATCGGTCCTTGACCCTCTCTGAAGACCGCAAACTTCAACCGATGCAAATCGAATCCCTCGAGCAAGGACCGTGAATCCTGGCACGGGCGAGTGGACTGTGCCCAAGGACCATTACTTGTCGCGTCGGGATCTGTGGCACTGAGGGTCCCTCATAGATCTCATAGAACGGACAGCCGGTCGCAGCGACGTTGCGTGGATTTCTAAGCGGCTCTGTGGGGGGGGGGGGTGTTGCCACGTTCTCTGGTTGTCTGTGTCGAGCTGCCGACAGCCTCAAAAGCCTGGCCCAGGCCACGAGGCGCCCACGCGAAGCGGTGCACGCGAAGCCTAAGTGGCACACTTCGCCAGCGCCGGGCGGTGGTGTGCCTGTGGGGAGGTTTTGGGGGGAAAAGGACTGCTAGGGGTGTTGGGGAGCCAGGGACTATGGGTCCAGACGAAGGCTGAGGGGAGAGAGAGAGGGGTGTTTGGTGGCCGGATCTATAAGGGGGGTGGGTCAGAGGGGAAAGAAACAGTGGATTCCTGCAAGGAAACTCGGCCCGCTTCGGCCAGGAGGCGAAGTGGCTACGGTCTCTATTTCCCTTTGGTGGCTTTTTCGGTCGCTCTCTTAATTCGAACGGCTTTTCTTCAGATGCTCCTCCCCTCCCACTTCATGCCTGGCTTTTCCATCCCGCCACCCACCTCCGTCCGCCCAGCCAGGGGCCACCACTCGCTACCATCCCCTCCCTTGTCCCCCTTCCCCGCGTCCCAGCTTCGCACGAGAAAAGAGCCCAGAAGCCCTGCCCTTCCTGTTTGCAGCGATAGCAATCAGCGTGTGACCAAGCAGAAGCCCGAGGACGTCGTTTGCAACCCAATTCGACAGGCTGAACTCCTTCACTCTCCGTGAAGAGCTTGTACCCCCGGCGATGCACAGAGCAGCCATGGTATTTGCGCTTGACTTGGAGGAATAGCTCCAGTAGGCTCAGTAGTTGTTGGCTCAGGTGCAGAATTTGGCTGCGTTCCAGTAGGTGCAGCAGCCAATGAACCACATGGTCCGAGCAAAAACGTTGCAATATGCTACGATGTCCGACCCCAGTAGAAAAAACCATTTCATTGGCACGCACTACTCTGATCCCACGAACAGTAAACCCAAGCTGGTCGTGCAGTTGCAGGGGCAGTTCGCGAAGCACACCATCAAATTCCAGTGCCTAGCAATTAATCACACGGAACTTCCTGACCGCAAGTCAGCTGAGTGAAATCTTTCTTGTCGCGAGTTGGTCTCGTGTTGATTCTGGGCGCTCCTGCGGTGCCGAGGGAGGGTTGCCAATATTGCTAACATGCTCAAACAGAAACGAGATGGGCAACTAGGGTTCCCAGGCGGGCAAAGGTTATACGCGCTCATGCGCTCCCGCTTTTACTGAGATGGCCTGTATACAGACTGCATCCTCATTGCAAGATGCTTAGCTCCGGCACAGAACGAGAGCGCAAAGTTCCGCCCTCCCCCATCAAAATGAGGACAAGGGCATCGTGGACATACTTGGTCGACGCCACCGGGGATGAGGAAGGTATATGGGGGGGGGGGAGGAGGGAAGGCAATCAAGGATGCCGGCCTCGCGAACTGGACCCTTCGGTCCACGTGCAAGCCTGCCCCAGAAGGTCCAACGCTCTTTGCGCGCATCTGAAAACCAATTGGTCGGTATATCGCCCCTGCCTACTACGTCCTTAACCCTGTGATTATCTTATGTGGAATGTAACCACCCTCTGTGATTGGATCGTTTTTGCCGATCTAGGAATTTCAAGGCACATCCGTCCGGAAACTGGACTTTGTTCATGCAGCGTAGCGCACATGCTCCTGCCAAGCCTTGGCGGCAGAGCTGGGCGCATCGCGCAAGCTGAAGGCGTTGAGCCAGGGAACCCCCTCGCACCTGGGCTTTACGCGCTTGGTCAACACGACTCGCTAGTAGCCGCGAGTGCCTCTTTGCGGCCCGATGACGCTTTGCTGCTTTTTTTGACGACCTGTACGTCGAATCGTCACCCGCGAGGTCGAACGAGGCGCCGGGGTCGAAGCAAACCCGGGCAAGACGCGAGTCTACAACGCGGCAGGCGGCGACGCACCACCCGGCATCGACGACTTGGGCCCGGACATGTGGTGTGGCAACCTGCCCCCAGCGCAGCGCGGCGTCGTCGCTCTGGGCGCACCGGGCGTGCCCATTGGTCACCCCGACTTCTTTCAAGCCCAAGACGCTAACAGCCTTGTAGCTGAGACCGACCTGCTCTGCAGCATTTGCTCCGAAACGTCCCTCCTGCAGACATACTGCCGTATGCTCGCGCTCATGACGATGCGGTCTGGGCCGTCGTTGATTGTCTGTTGGGCTATCATGCAGGGGCCCAACAACGGCGACGACTGGGTTTCTGCTCGCCAGGTCGTTTTTGTGCCGCCGAGCCTGGTTTTCGGCCTCTTAGCATCTGAGCGGGTGTCGCC